CCTTGTTTGGGTTCCTACCTTCTGAAGCTTTCCTACCTCTTGAAGTTGTAGCAAGTTCACATTTGGCTGAAATCCGTTAGATGCAGTGTAATCCAAGTGAATCAGGTTCCCTATCTGGTTCTTGACATTAAGTTTGTTAGATCATCAATATACAAGACAAAGATATTAAAAACCTATCACAGTTTTTTGTATAATTATGTATAATCTTGTATAATAGTGTATATGAGTGTATAAACACATTTTATACACTATTATACACTTTTATACATCTTTATACAAGCGTATGTAGACGAACTTCTTCCACGATTTTCGGTTGCAACTCTTGTTCAAAATCCGTCCAGCTCTCCATTAAATGACTTCAAATTTTATATACAACCTCCTTAAACTATTTTAACAAGTCTAAATAACACACACTCTAAATTTCTCATAAAATTAAATTCGAAATTTAGACCCACATATTTAAGCTTGTTAAAAATCTAATTTTCACCATCCAAATGGATTTGATTTGTTGAACTAATATTTGAGTCACAATTACTGATTCGAAAATTAATTTAAAAGCTTGAGCAATCTTTTTTTAAAAATTATAATTTCTAGAACCTATTGAAGTCCGATGTTGAATCTTAGCTTATTATTTTTGGGCTAGTTGGTTGTAAATTAAAATATGGGCTATAAAATTGAAAAGTAGGGAGCTCAGTTGTTCTAATGTAAAATTTTCTCTAAACACTGAATATCATAAAATATTAAAATTTAAAAAATTAAATCAAATACCATAACGAATACCTACTTAAATATATGCACGTGCTGTCACTGTGAATTTTAAAGTGTTAATTCAACCTAAATGTGTTATACTACGTAACCAGTGGACTAGTAAACACCTACTCTATGTGTATATCACTATGAACTTAGATATTGGCTCGCTTGTCTGTTATGAAGAGGGTACTAATTAGATACTCCCTTAATATGTTTAAATCTTTTCGGAGTACGAGGGTCAAATTGACTAATTTTCAATGCGAATCTGTATATAGATTCTTTTAAGTTTTTTTTTAAAATAAAATTTATATGCTTAAAAGCTATATCAAAATACTATAAGTCACAATATTTAATAATTTAAAATATTTAAAAATTATTTACAAAGAACATGATCAAAGAAAATCTAATTTATTTTGGCAAAATACCTTAAACCACCCCTAAACTCGGTTCAGGTTATTAGTATCACCCCCGAACTATGCCCGGTCTTAATTACCCCCCTCAACTTGGCCTTTTAAGGGCCATTACCACCCTAAACGCTGATGGGGAAAAAAGTGTGGGTGAACTCGCCTGCCACGTAGATTTTTCCTGTCTATGTGGCATTTTTTTGAAAAATAAAATATTTTTTTTACCTTTTTAAGAATATTACTTTTTTAGATAATTTTTTTTGAATAAAATTTATAATAAAACTTGGGTATAACTACATTATTTAGGCTAAATATTATTTGGCCAAAAAAATAAAGTTTTAGTTAATGGTTTTTTGAATTTGACCTGAAAATAAAGATTTATACAATTGAAATAAATAGTCAAGGCATCTAAAAAGTTATAAAAAATACATAATTTGAAATTAATAGTCAAGCCATTTATTTTCTCAAATAATAATAGATTTCTTCTTTTTTAAACAGGAAGTATATGACTACTGTTGTATCCTTTTGGTTTCTTGGCAAAGCACTAGTTAGATGTATTTATTTTCTTTCATTATAATGTCCTCTTTGCTGTGGTCAATTGCCATAACTTTTCCCGAAAATATCTCTATCTTGCTAACGTGAACAATCTCGTTTTCTTAGTGATTGAGAGAATAATGTATGCCAAAAGAAGTCTTTGGCATTTAGTTTTTGCAATATTTTAGAACAGCAAGATCGAGAGAGACAAAGAAATTATTTGTTTTTAGTGCTTACCGTGATATAACAGTCGATTTCCTTGAAGAATTCAATGATCAGACATATAAAACCACAATAATGATACCCCATACATGTGTTTATATCATGAAATGATTAAGAAAGATGCCTATAAAGAAAGGGAAGGTAATTAGAAGGGAGCAGGATTGATCCACCATTTAAACTTGTTGGATTCAGCATCATTTACCTAAACTTTAATAGTTTTTTTTTTAAAGATAATAAGTTCAAAATTTAATAGTTTATCCTTCAAAAGTGCATTTCATGTCGAATAAGATTGTATTAGAAATTTTATTATTTGTTTGGCCTTCTTAGTTAATTAATTTCGTTTTTTTTCATTGTATAGTGATATTAGGAATGCAATAAATATTTTATTATTTCATATAATGAAAGCAATAAATCGATTTTCAACATACATATTTAGTTTATTTTATGGATCTTTATTTATTAATTATCGTAGTATATACGCGACGTTCCATATGCATAAGACATGTTTTTGTGTCGAAAATATTAGAAGCTAAGTTTAGTGGAGTAGCATAATTGAATCTCTTTTGTGGGAAAAATATATTGCATTAATAGAATAAAAATAATTTTTTTGTAAATATAAACTTTTGAATCCTCTTGACATACTAATAAAAGTTTTAAAATATAGGACTCAAAATTAGCTTGAGGACATAAATTTGAATCTTAGTGTGTCATTCTTACATTTTTGTGGAATCCCTTGAAATTCCAGTGGCCCTACAAATATATAATTAGAACCTAGTACATTTATTTGCATGTATGATGTATGTACATACATAGTAATGATCGAAGAAGTCTTTACAAAACCACCAAAGGACGTGGTACAGTGAATAGGGCTGCTCCTCCCTTAACTAGAGGTCTCGAGTTCGAGCCCTGGGTATGGAAAAATCCTTGGTAGGGAGCGGTACCCCTCGAATGGGGCCTTACCCGGCGCGAATCCGGATATAGTCGGGCTCCAATACGGGTACCGAACACCGGGTGGGAAACAAAAAAAAGAAGAAGAAGTCTTTACAAATACATGGGACGGGGACACAAAACCTATATTTACTCAAAGCGAGCTATATAAACAAATTATGAACCGTATTATAATTGATGCAAGTAGAATTAAAATATTAAAGACGATGGGAATCGGGCTAATATTCAATGTATTGAGGGACTATAAAGATCTAGGGTAGGTACTGGTAAAGGAAAGAGAAGACTGAAGTGAAAGCCCGTGTGAATCTAAATGACAAGCTCAGATAGAGAAGAGGCTGCAGAAAACGGTCAGCTCAAGGATCGGAAAGTCTCATGGGCGAAGTTACACCGTGTAGACTCCCTCAACTTAGAAGCTGGAAAAGTTTCAACTTCTCCGGCAAGACACGCCTCTAAGGTATATACTTCATACTATTTAATTATACAGTTTAGGTTATATATATTTTCAGTATAGTAAATATATGAATTATAGAGTTCAAGTTATATACATAACTAGTGTAAGAAATTTATATACTCGCGGTGTAAAAAAAAAAAAAAAGATTTAACTGATATACACAGTGGTAAATACATGTGAGAGGCATGGGTTCACGTACACTTATGCTTTCCTCCCTAAATTATATATAGCGATGTTATATTTCTTCAAACGTACTTACCTCCCTAAATCATATATAGCAATGTTATATTTCTCAAAAAATACTTAAATATGTATGTGTGAACCCAAATTATATGATGGTATAATCACTAAGAGTACGTCTATAAGCAAGGCCGGAGGTTCAAATCTCACGTTTGATTAGTTATTTCTTACTCTCTCTTTTTTCTAGAATTAGGCCCACCTAAATGTGCATATCTAGTGTACCTTAGTTGCGTTTCAAGTAATTTTTTTCTTTCTTTATCTGGTTTATTTTTTTTAAAATTTAACCCTTCAAATTTAGTAGTAATTAAGAACCTAAAGATTGAACCCCTCAAATTTAAATATTAGATCTAACGTTTTGTAATAGTGCATACATCTTCTCGAAATCTTGGATTCGCTATATGATATACATCAATAGTGTATAGAATATTTGTACTATAATTTAACATGTTATAGTTGGTTACCTTATTATTTTTCAAGTTCCTAACTCTACTTATTTAGGTGATTTAATGGTATAAAAAGTTATTTAAGTTAAAGAAATAAAAAGAATAATATAAATATGTAACTAAATAAGTAATTACAAGTAACAGTTTACATTGAACGTGGATAAGTAACCTGAAAAATATTGTACAAGATTTGGATAAAGGAGTTGTTACAAAGTATAATATCTAAGTTGTAGAATTGTGTGATCATCTTATCTAAAAGTTTAAATTATTAGAGAGGAAATAATTTTATTTATTTATATATATTTTTAACACACCCCCTCTGTTCGGACCTGATTTTCTTTTTGTGGGTCAAACTCGTGAAAATTCTTTTTGATAATGAGTGACGGTAAGACTCGAATCCAGGACTTATGCCTGCTCATCTAAAAAGTTAAGCTGTTAAAGGGAAACCTTTTATTTTATTTAATTGTATCTTCAACATAAGCTATTCTAGTTTGTCCATAACTCTATTCAAGTTAGAATTTTGTTTTCCAATAGAAAGTAACCTTGTAAATGACATTAATGGACGTGTCAATTTTTTTCTTGTCTTAATATAAAGTTAATTTCTGTCCAGAGAGATTATATTACAACTTGGTTATCGTCGTGGATGATTATGCATGCATGTGCGATACTGTGACATGACTATAATTCATATTTGCAGGCTGATTGGAAGACAATATTGAGTTTAGCATTTCAGTCGGTAGGAGTTATCTACGGAGATATAGGGACTTCCCCTCTTTACGTTTATGCAAGTACTTTCCCTGATAATATTGGACACAAGGATGACATTCTTGGGGTGTTGTCCCTCGTCATTTATACCATTATCCTCGTACCTATGACTAAGTATGTTTTCATTGTCTTGTGGGCCAATGACAATGGCGATGGTAAGTTCTAAGATATCCCTCACTGTTATCTATTACTCCTTTCGTTTCAAATTAGATGAACTATTTGTTTTTTAGTATGTTCCAAAATAAATGACACATTTCTAAATTTAAAAATAATTAACTTTAAAATCTTCATTTTACCCTTAATGAGAAGCTTTTATAACCATAAAAATATCATGGCCTCACAAACCTTTTACCTTTTAAGCATTTAAGACCATAAGTTTTAAAAGTCTTTTTTTTTTCATATACTCTGTGCAGAGTCAAACTACCTCATCTAAATTGAAACAAAGGGAGTACTTCATCTAGAGATGTTCACGGGAAACCAAAAAGTCGATCCAAATAAAAAACTGAATCAATAAAAAAAATTGGTTTGATTTGGTTTTATTGTAAATTTTAAAAAGCAAATAATATTTTGTTATAGTTTTTGATTTTAAGTAAAAAATAATCAAAAAAATCAAACCAAACTAATTATATAAATACCTGGTTAAGAACTCTTCAAATCCTATTCAGTCTGATTAGATATGTCACTGAAACAAAGTGATTCCGTTCTGTCTCTGTTTTCTTTTCGGATTCCGAGGATGAGCCGGTCGATCCTAACATCATTTATGAGGAGCCGGACGATGAAGCCTCCTCCTCAGATAAAGATGTCTCCGACGCTACTCTCCCGGCAAGAACAACTTTTTCTATTGTGATTTTTTTGGCGAGTTCGGTCAGGAGGGACAAAAGAGAGATGCTTTCTATCAGTCAAAAGTAGATATCGCCCCCCATGCTCCCACGGTCCGCTTACCGAGGAATAGAAAGGAAGGACTCGGGGCCAGAGCAAGTTGGGTTGGGGTATAGAGCCGTAAGCGCGGTGGGGGGTAACAGAGGACGTGCTCGTACGGTTCATAGAAGGAATATATATATATATATATATATATCACATTAGAAACCTTTGACAACTGAAGCCCATCTCCCCCTTTTATTGAAAGTCCCATTGTAGAATCCCCACCTGCATTCTTTAGCTAATCCCCAAATTCTTTATATAGTCAGTACTAAATATTCTTTATTCCTCAGATATGTTGTTAATTTCCTTAGGGTTTCTATTTTAAGTACCTCTGTTCCTTCCTATTTTCATCTCACATTATTTTAGTCCATAACTTGTTGATTATAGTCTATTTTATTCTTAAAATTATATCAACAGAGCAGGGGCGAAGCTACAGTGTAGCAAGGTCAACTGACCACCCTTCGTCGAAAAATTATACTGTATATACAGGTAAAGAATTTGAATTTACACATATGTAATACATATTGAACACCCTTGTAACAAAGAAAAGGCGTAGCCCAGTGGCAAAGGGTGGTCAAGAAAGCCTCACGATCGCAGGTTCGATCTCACCCAACACAATTTGTGTTGCGTTTTAATTTTTTTTTAAGACTAAACGACGCCACTGAAGTTTGGGGTTTGGAACTTTGAAGTTCTGGTTGCTCTCTCTCTCTCTCGGCGCTATTCAGTATTCACAACAGCTCCATTACTCTATTTTTGTGGTTAGAACTTAGAAACTCTTGTCTAATTGTCTTTTCTTTTCTGTTTTTGTTTCAAAGTTTTAATTTTGCTTCAAAGTTTTAGTTTTCAGTATTCACAACAGTTTTAGTTTTTCTCTTTCTGATTTTGGTTTGGTACTGTGGTTAAAAAGCGTTTACTCAAGAGATTTGAGCCTAAATAGAAACTAATGGATATAGAATATTCATGTAGCGCCCGGCTAGTTTAGGTGTACTTGATTGATACATAGATTGAAATCTCTTTTTTGTTTGGTATAGGGGTGGGGGCACTTTCTGTCCACGGGATTGTTGTGCAACAGTTTTAGAATACTATGCTAATCCTATCATCTGGAAAAATAAATTAGTAAATTTGTTGAATCCAAGTTTAACACGGGTTCGAAGTTGTTTTAAGCAGCTTCCATTTAGTATAAGTGCATGAACTGGTTCATTGAGAAAAGACTTGTTTGTTCATGTAGATATAAGTGTGAGACTTCAGAGAATTCTAATTTGCCATAAAAAGCAAAAAATTTAGTATTGGAATGAGATGAGCCTAATTTTAAATAGAGTTTAATGGCTGCAAAATATTCATATAGATGCACTGCTAGAATGGAATTGAGGTGTATTTGATTGGTACTTTATACATTGGAATTGAAGTTGCAATGAACTTGTTGAAATTTTACAACAAAGTACCAAAAATAACTTTGGCTTCTCAAAATCAATCTACCAAAATAAGTAGAGTCTCTTTTCGACGCTTCTTTATATTAGTTTGCATTTATCCAATTGTTTGTATTATTACCTGTATTTTTATAATTTAGCTCGATATCACGTTATTTGATTTAAATTTTTCGGTGCACCTACTTGTTGAGAATTTTTTTCCTTGTTCAAATTTGAACACCCTTGAAAAATTTTCTAGATTCGCCACTGCAACAGAGTATCTATTTAATAAATTGTTTCTTCTAATCTTGGCGACCATCTTGTCTAAGTCAAGAAGCTCCTAATATGTTGGGAACGTCTTGACCTCTTAAGCAAACTCTTCCCAAAAGGCTGCACCATTATTCAACAAATCAATCAATCTTACTAAAAATTTTACAAAAACCGAAAAAACCAAAAAAAAAAAAAAAAGAAGTCGAAAAAAATGAATTAATGAAAAAACGATTTAGTTGGTTTAATTTGGTTCTTCTATATTAAAAATTGACATCGTTGGTTCGGTTTTTTTTAAGGTAAGAATCGATCCAAGCAGAATCATAAATACCCCTAACTTCACCCGTTTCATTTTGCATGATACATTTATAAAAAATTTAATTTGTCTTTTTTTTTTTAAATTTTACTTTGTTTCGTAAAGAGCGACATTTTTCTTCAATTTTTTTTCTTAACTTTAAAATATTTGTTTACTCTTAATGAAAAGCTCTATAATTATAACAATGTTATGATACGTTTAACCCTACAAATTCTAATGTGTCGATACGCAGGGGGAGCATTTGCGTTGTATTCCTTAATGTGTCGATATGCAAAAGTGAGTCTTATCCCAAACCAGGAGCCAGAGGACAGAGAACTTTCCCATTACAATCTGGACATACCATCCAATCAATTTAGACGGGCTCAGAAGATCAGACATAAGTTGGAGAAGAGTAAATTTGCAAAATTTTTGCTCGTCTTCGCCGCCATCCTCGGCACTTCTATGGTTATTGGAGATGGAGTTCTCACTCCTTGCATCTCAGGTCTCTAAATTTCAAATTTATACTCTCCATTTTACTCCTAGCTAGATTATCATTTCAAACTATTGTATGGGCAGTTTTGTTGAATCAGTTTAAGTTCTGTACACTGACAGTAAATATCTAAAAGAGTTACGTACCTATAAGCAACTGTCTATAATACGCTGAACTAGTCATCTGAAAAATAAGCACTACGATATTTTAAAGTGTTTAACTAAGGGACATTGATAACGCAAAAAACTTTTACACTATCAATCACATATAAAGTGCCTTATTTTCAAGATTTCAAATTTCACTTTTTTATGGAGGTTACTTGTATATGTGATTTGGATGACCATATAGTGTAAGAATTTCTTCACACCGTCTAGGTATATAAGCTAAACTCTATGTTACATACATTGCAAGTATAAAATTTATTTACACTGTCAATTTATATAAGTTCGATTCTTGTCTAATATGGTGGTTTTTTGCATGCAGTTCTCTCAGCCGTAAGTGGAATAAAGCCTTTAGGGGAAGGTGATTATATATAGTCGTACAGAAATTAAAAGGATGCTAATGAATTCATTTTCTCTTAATATATCTTTTTTAATGATATACGTGTAGATGCGGTTGTGGGTATTTCCATTGCAATTCTGGTAGCTCTCTTCTGTGTTCAACGTTTTGGTACAGACAAAGTGGGATATTCATTTGCTCCAGCCATTTGCGTTTGGTTTCTATTCATAAGTGGTATCGGTCTATACAACTTGTTCAAGTATGATGTGAGCGTCTTACGTTCCTTTAATCCCAAATACATTGTTGACTACTTCAAAAGAAATGGTAGAAAAGGATGGATCTCTCTTGGTGGTGTTTTTCTCTGTATTACAGGTTAGAATTCTATTGAGACGCATCTGTTTTCTTGATTGTTAGAGCCCTGTTATCATGGGTGGCTCGACTATAAGGCCAGTAAAGCAAACCCTGTTTTTTCCTTAAATATGTATTGTACATATATTATTAAAAAAATGTGTATACATTTAAATTTAAAAAGAATTTTTGGAGCGAAAGTACAATAACTTTAATATGAGGATCGTTGTAATATGAGAGAATGGAATAATTTTTAATGAATTATTTTCTTCCATGGGTAGAGTAGTTATTTCTTTGACTCATTTATATCCTAACAACTAATACGAGCCCTCATTATTATTTATATACTTACTTTTTTCATTCTCTCTTTTACAATTCTTATTCTCAATATTGAAAAGTCTCTCAATCGGCAACTTACAGCGGCTTACAAGTTGTCTCTTCAAAATATCAAGCATTACAACAAGCAATCATTATATTGAAGCAATGCAATACTTTTCGATATCATTATATCAACTTATCTTGCTCTATAGTTTCTTACCCTTTGATTTCTGTTATTATCTATTGTTTCTTGTACTTCGATTATCTTATTTATCTGTGATAGCCACTGCTCCTTTTTAGACTGTTGTATCATGGCTTATTCGCTTTCGTTACTTTCATTTTCATACTGCATTGAATTGATTGTCCTTAAGTGACCTTTTTTTCCATGCTTTCTCTTGAGCTGAGGGTCTTTCAGAAACAATCTCTCTACCTACCAAGGTAGAGGTAAGGTCTGCGTACACTCTACCTCCCTAGATCCCACTTTGTGGGTTTTCACTCGATATGTTGTTGTATATCAACTTATCAAATTCTTGAGCCGAATTTATTATTCTACCTTTATTTTATACTTTTTCGTTGAAAATTTGTCGTTGATATTCTTACTTACGGTCTCCCTCTGAAATTTGATTTTAGACCCCCAATCTTGTTAAGACGGCCCTGCCTGTTATTTATATTGTAGTCATAAGGAACGTACTAAAGGAAATTTGCCAACCTTAGAAAGGGGATGCACTCAAGCATGCGAAGAAAGCACAAAGAGCTTCTCTTTTATATAATAGAAAGATTTGTAGAGGGATTTTTCACATATCCAATGTTGTAGGAGCTTCAAAGAAAGCTTGTAGTTTTGGGGGTGCGCAACATTGTAACCCTATACAAGGGGCACGAAATACCTAGCTTTACCTATGTCTAGTTCTGAATCTAGTCTCGGCATCAATTTGTGAAATCCCTCAAGCTCAATTCCTTCCTTCTTGCCTTCCCCGCTTTATCAATGTATAGTTTAATTGATTATAGCATGTTACTTATCATACTTTCGTATTACATGTCTACATTTATTATAAACAGAACCCATAGTCACTTTTTTAACAACCTGATTGTGTATATTATTTATTCACTCAGTTCATAAAAGTTAAACTTGATAGATTATCACTCTTTTGTCAGTACTCTCTATCATCTCCTTACTTTCACCACTTCTCATCTGTGTTGTTATGAAAGATTGTTTTATGAAACCATTCAGGATCCGAAGCTATGTTTGCTGATTTGGGTCACTTCAGTGTGCGGTCTGTTCAAGTAAGTCAAGTCTTCATTTTTGTTCCATCTCTTATATTTTTTATGAGCAATCAAAGTGAACTCGCCATGTGCATTATATGTATGGCAGATAAGCTTCAGTTGCCTCGTATTTCCAGCTTTGCTCTCTGCTTATAGTGGACAAGCTGCTTACCTCTCAAAATTCCCTGAAAATGTTGAGAATACTTTTTATGACTCCGTTCCAGGCAAGTTCCCAACATATGTTTTGAAGTAATGGATAATGCCATTGAATATAGTACTGATATAAATCAAACACCATATATAATTGATTTGATGATGCTGCTTCTTACAGATCCACTATACTGGCCAACGTTTGTCGTAGCTGTTGCTGCGGCCATTATTGCAAGTCAAGCAATGATATCTGGAGCCTTTTCTATTGTTGCTCAGGCCCAAAGTCTAGGTTGTTTCCCGAGGGTGAAGGTAATGCACACATCTGCCAAATATGAGGGTCAGGTTTATATCCCTGAACTCAATTACTTCCTCATGGTTGCTTGTGTTCTAGTTACTCTCAGCTTCAAAACCACAGAAAAATTGGGACATGCTTATGGTATAGCTGTGGTTATTGCTGAGATCATAACTACACATATGGTGACATTAATAATGCTTGTCATATGGAAAATCAGCATTTGGTGGATTACACTATTCTACGTGGTGTACCTTTCCATTGAATCTACATACCTATCCGCTCAGCTGACAAAATTCGTGCAAGGTGGTTATCTGCCCTTGGCCTTTTCAGTCGTGCTCGTGCTCATGATGGGAACTTGGCACTATGTTCAAAAACTTCGATACCAATTCGAGCTCAATAACAAGGTGTCCAGCGACTACGTTAGGGACTTGGCCAAGAGTCCAGACATCAAAAGAGTACCTGGGATAGGATTACTCTACTCTGAACTAGTACAGGGGATTCCCCCTATATTTCCTCACTTCGTCTCCAATATTCCTTCCGTCCACTCTATCATAGTTCTGGTGTCAATAAAATCCATCCCTATCAGTAAAGTAGCAGTTCAGGAACGTTTTTTGTTTCGACAAGTTGAGCCTAGAGAATACAAGGTGTTTCGATGTGTTGTTAGGTTAGGGTACAAAGATCAACTTGGGAATACAGAGGACTTTGAAAACCAATTGGTGGAAGAACTGAACAAATTCATCCAACATGAACATTATATTCGTGGAGCGCATGATCATCAAGGTGCAGATAGAGAAGTTGAACCAGTAATATCTGACCAAATACAATCGGAAAACTCATCCAGGATCCACATGGAGGACGATCTGCAGCAACAAGTAGATTCAACTCAAATACAAATGGTGTCCCCGATTTCGGAAGAAGAAGAGATGCAGTTTGTGACAAAAGCTAAGGAGCAAGGGGTGTTCTATCTCTTGGGAGAAGCAGAAGTGGTGGCTAAACAAGATTCGTCATTCGTGAAGAAATTTTTTATCAACAATGCTTATAATTTCTTGCGCAAGAACTTCAGGCAAGGGGAGAAAGTTATGGCAATTCCTCAGAGTAGGCTGCTAAGGGTCGGCATGACTTATGAATTATAATTGTGAATCATAGAGCGAAATTATACTAACATGTGCTCGCGTAACGAACAATAATACTATGATTTCTGCTCTTTGTATATTTCTATTTTTTTATCCTTTAATAATGTATGCAAGCTTTCAGCTTGAGTAATTGTAATTGTACTTTCAGACTTAAAAGATGTTAGATTAGTACGCCAATCAGATACTTTGTGATTCAAGGCAGATACTTTCTATTGAAAATTTCATGCTTCAGATTTTATATGCCTTTGCAATTCAGTCAGTAACGGACATGACATTAACATATGGAAGCTTTTGATTATTTACATGATGTAGTGGTAAAACACGAATCACTAGGATTGTTTAATCTTAAAAACATTCTTAATTACTAAACTCGTGAACCCCTAAATCTTGACAAACATTAATAGTTCTCTTCACAAGTGTATAACATGTTTTTGATTGAGATTACCTAAACAGTTTGAAGCTTTCGATTCTCCACATGATGCACTGCGAACCTTGAGGATTCTTTAGTCCTAAAACCTCCTCAACTTTTGACTCAAGAATACCCTGGATCTTGACAAACATTAACGGTTTTCTTCACAAGTGTAGAACAAATTTTAGAATGAGATTAGATTAATCAGTTTCCATATATCCTTGTGCATAAAATTAAACTCACGCGCATATAACCCATTGCAATGAGTAGTGGTGAAGCCAGGAATTTCTCCAAAGGTGTTCAAAATGAAAGATGTGAAAAAGATTCTCCAACAAAGAGTATTCAATATATGTTATATACCTCAAAAACCTAACATTTTACCTATATATATATATATATATATATATATATATATATATATATATATATATATATTGTAATTCTTCGATGAAAGTTGATCAATTGACCGCTCTTAGGACAATGTAGCTTCGCCAATGAGTACGATCTTTTTTTAAACCACATAAATATTATCAAAGATGCAAGCTAGATCTGTTAATCTCGCACAAATCCCTCATGGAGATGTGTCACGACCCTAAACCCAGACCCGGTCGTGATGGCGCCACTCGTGAAGACAAGGCCAGCCGATTAAACCCAATTCATCTTTTAAACAGTTAAGCAGTAATAAACAGACTAAGCATGATTAAGTAAACCAAAATCTAAGCAAAAGATAGAATGATATGCGGAATACAGCCCATACACAGCCCGGTACCGGGGTGTCACACGTCACGAGCATCTAACAACACGGAATACTCCAAAGCAACTACAGAGTTCAGTACAAAAGTAAAGACATGAAGAAATAAGATAGAGAGGAGCTCCGGGCTGCGAACGCCAACAACTACCTAAAGACTCCTCGGATCCGCCTGAAGTTGGAAATGATCAGCACTCGGGAGCGGGACCAGATATGCCTGAATCTGCACACAGGGTGCAGGGAGTAAAGTGAGTACTCCAACTCAGTGAGTAACAACTGTAAATAACGACTAAAAGCAAGAAAACACGAAATGCACAAAACATTCTGTAATGAAGCAGTAAAACCATTTAAAACAAACCAGTGAAAAGATAAGTAAAATATTTTTTCAACAAGTAAGCAGGTAATTGCGGGCAATTAAGGAAAAATAAACACATAGAAGTTTGCCCCTCGGGCACAGTATCAACAAATCCGCCCCTTAGGCAACATCTCAGAACAATACCAACCCCTCGGGCTCAATCTTACATCACAATGGGTACCCGCGCTCACTGGGGGTGTGCAGACTCCTGGAGGGGCCCCTTACGGCCCAAGCGCAATATCAAACCATCTCATGGCGTCATCACTGGGCTCTCGGCCTCATATCAATCAAGCCACCTCGTGGCGTACATATCTCAGGCCCTCGGCCTCAAATCAATATCAGTGTTTCCTCACAACATAGGCCCTCGGCCTTACACAGCCAAAAATTCTCACAAGCCACTCGGGCAATAGTAAAACAGTATTTATCAACCCAAACATCATTTAAAATATCATTTAAGTATTAAAACTGAGTAAGCATGGCTGAGTATGAAAAACAGTGGAAAATAACATGACTGAGTTCAAGTATAAAGTGAAAACAGTGAGGAAATATCAATAAAAATCCCCGAAGGGTTCAAATAGTTGGCACGAAGCCAACAAATGGCATTTAGCCCAAATAATGATGATAGCAAATAGATTTCAGTCAAATACGCGGTAAAATCATCAATCGGGACGGACCAAGTCATAATCCCTAATAGTGCACGACCCCACGCTCGTCATCAAGCGCGTGCCTCACCTCAATATAGCATTACGATGTGCAATCTTTCAAACCCTCAAAACATCATTTACAATCATTACTCACCTCGAACCGATTAAATCTCTAGCTCGCGATGCTTTTACCCCTCGAATCGTCCTCCACTCGCGTCGAATCTATCCAAAATCAGAACGACGGCATCAAAATATGCTAAGGGAACGAAGCCCAAGCGAAAACAATCAATAATTGACACAAATTCCGAAATTACCAAAACCCGACCCCCGGGCCCATGCCTCGGAATTCAATAATTTTTATACCAATAGATTCTTTATCTCCCCGCGAGTTCATACATATAAAAAATTCAGAAATCCGACGTCAAATGGTCCATCAAATCCTCAATCATAGGTCTCCAATACTAAACCCTAGCTTCCCCAAATTTCACCCTTAATTTCCATAATTTCTAGCTCTAATCCGTGAAATAATAGCATAGGAATGAGTTTTAGGTCCAAATTCCTTACCTCAATGAAGTTCCCTTGAAATCCCTCTTTCAAATCGTCCAAAAAGCTCCAAAGCCTAGATAAAAAATGGTGAAATAGCTCAAAATTCGCGAAGGACACAATTTATACCTTCTGCCCAGAAATTTTCCGCATCTGCGGCCCTTTTTCTGCTTTTGCGGTACCGCATTTGCGGTATCGCATTTGCAGTCATTCATCCGCTTCTGCGGACATCACTTACTAGCCACAAACCGCATCTGCGATCACCCTTCCGCATCTGCGACTCCGCAGATGCAGTCCTATTAGCCGCTTCTATGGTTCCTGCTCCTCAAGTTCCTTTTCTCTTCTGCGACCAATCCTCCGCTTATGCGGCGCCGCACCTGCGTTCCCAGTTCCGCAGGTGCGGAAATACTAGAAGCAGCAAATTCAGCAGCTGCAACAAAATCCAAACTTCTCCGTCAACCATCCGAAATCACCCCGAGGCCTCCGGGACCTCAACCAAAAGCACAAACATACCCTAATATCTTATTCAAACTTGTTCGGATCTTCAAAACACCTTAAACAACATCAAATCATTCAAAGTACATCGGATTCAAGCCAAACTTTTTAAAATCTTCCGAATTCCGCTTTTGATCAAAAACCCAACCAAGCCACGTCCGAATACCCTGAAATTTTGCACACACACCCCAAATGACATAACGAAGCTACTACAACTCTCGGAATTCCATTCTGACCCCTATATCAAAATCTCGCCTACCAACCGAAAATCGCGAAAATATCAATTTTGCCAATTCAAGCCTAAATCTACTCCGAACCTCCAAAATTCATTCCGATCACACTCCTAAGTCTCAAATCACCCCCCGAAGCTAACCGAACCATCGGAACTCACATACGAGCCCTCTAACACATAAGTCAACATCCAGTTGACTTTTCCAACCAAACTCCCTTGAAAGAGACTAAGTGTCTCAAACCTTACCAAAATCATTCCGGATTCGATCCGACCAACCCGATACCACAATACACGGATAAAAAAACCATAAAGAAGCAGAAATGGGGGAAACAGAGCGGTAACTCATGAGACGACTGGACGGGTCATCACATCCTCCCCAACTTAAACAAACGTTCGTCCTCGAACGAGTCAAGAAACATACCTGAAGCCTCAAACAGGTGAGGATATCTGCCCAGCATCTCTCGCTCGGTCTCCTAGGTAGCCTCCTCCACGGGCCGACCTCTCCACTGCACCTTCACTGAAGCTATATCCTTTGACCTCAACTTCCGAACCTGACGACCCAAAATAGCTATAGGCTCCATATCATAGGTCAAATCATCATCCAACTGAACCGTGCTGAAATCCAAAATATGAGACGGACCCCCAATATACTTTCGGATTATAAAAACATGGAATACCGGATTCACACTCGACAAGATGGGTGGAAAAGCAAGCTCATAAGCCACCTCCCCAATCCTCCGAAGTACCTCAAAAGGCCCAATTAACCGCGGACCCAACTTCCCTTTCTTCCCAAATATCATAACACCCTTCATGGGCGAAACCTTCAACAAAATCTTCTCACCAACCATGTAGGACACATCTCCAACCTTCCTGTCAGCATAACTTTTTTGCCTCGACTGCGCTGTACAGAGCCTCTCCTGAATCACCTTCACCTTCTCCAAAGCATCCTGCACCAAATCTGTCCCCAATAGCCTAGCCTCACCGGGCTCGAACCAACCAACTGGAGATCTACACCGCCTCCCATACAAAGCCTCATATGGAGCCATCTGAATACTCGACCGGTAGCTGTTGTTATAAGCAAACACTGCAAGCGGTAGAAACTGATCCCATGACCCTCCAAAATCAATGACACAAGCACGCAACATGTCATCCAATATCTGAATAGTGCGCTCAGACTACCCGTCCGTCTGAGGGTGAAAAGTTATGCTCAACTCAACCTGAGTACCCAACTCTCGCTGCACAGACCTCCAAACCTGCGATGTAAACTGAGTGCCCCTATCTGAAATGATGGAAAATGGGACACCATGCAGACGAACAATCTCCCGGATATAGATCTCTGCCAACCGCTCTGAAGAATAGGTAGTACGTACAGGAATAAAGTGCACGGACTTGGTCAGCTGGTCCACAATCACCCAAATAGCATCGAACTTCTTCAAGGTCCGTGGAAGTCCAACAACAAAGTCCATAGTGATCCTCTCTCACTTCCACTCTGGAATATCCATCCGCTGAAGCAAGCCACCCGGTCTCTGATGCTCATATATCACCTGTTGACAATTGAGACACCGAGCTACAAATCCCACAATGTCTTTCTTCATTCTTCTCCACTAATAGTGCTGCCTCAAATCTTGATACATCTTTGCAGCACCCGGATGAATGGAATACCGCGAGCTATGGGCCTCCTCCAGAATCAACTCTCAAAGCCCATCCACATTGGGCACACAAATCCGGCCCTGCATCCTTAACACCCCATCATCACTAATGGTCACATCTCTGGCATCATCATGCTGAACTCTATCCCTAAGGATAAGCAAA